TGCTGATTCTTTTTTTATATGTGTGATATGCAGCTAATATACCTTATTAATCTACATAATAACAATAATAACAATAATAATGCACAAGGTACAGCGGAGATATTACACCACCGCTATCTCTGCCGTCGGGTTCAATTATGCGAATTTCTTGTGGACACTTAATTGAGCGAAACTAATTCGCAGCGCTAAAGCTAATTTGTAATGCAGTTATCTGTGAGCGGAATGTAGCACCCAGATGCCCCCGGAGGAGTGTTCCCATGCCGGGCACTGGAGCCCACTTGCCCTGGGACATGGATGTGAACTCGGAGGACTGAGGGAATAGACATGTCCTTTGGTGGATACAGAGTCATCGGATACAACAGAAATAGACTTTGTAATGCTGGCACTCCTGGGCATGGATGGTGCTTGGTGACCCCGGGTTTTGGGGAGGGTAGACCGTTTGGTGCCCACACCAGCGTGTTACCATTGACCGTGGCCCTTTTACAGCTGTCCTGCTCCCTGGCCATTACTTTTACCCCACTGCCTCCTATTCTCTTAATCACAAGTCTTTTTCATTCATTAGTTTCCCTTATTCCATTTTCTGATCCTTTTTTCTCTCTTTCCCTCTTCTCTGTTATTCTTTCTGATTTATCTGCCCATCTTCCTTCTTTTATTCGTGGAAATTTCATGTATTGCTGTCCCTTTTCTCTCTTCTGGTCTTATATTTTCTTCTATCCTTGGCCCTTTCCGTCTCTTCCCTAACCTTTTCTCTCCTCCTCACTTTTCATTTCCTATCAGCCCTATCCTTATCTTCTCTTGCCTCTCCTTTTTTTTTTTTTTTTACTTACCTCACCCCTGTCTTCCCTTATTTCAACCCTGTCTTCCCCTACCTCTCCCCTGCCCTTACTGCTCTCTTGACTTCCCATACCTCTCATCTGTCTTCCCTTACCTCTCATCTGTCTTCCCTTACCTCTTCCCATCTTCCCTTACCTATGCCCTGTCTCCTCTCACCTCTCCCCTGTCTTCCTTTTCGTTCCTCTTTCTTTTCCTTTCCCCTGTCTTGCCTTACCTCTACTCTGTCTTCCTTTGCCTACTTTCCCTTGGCTGTCTCCTGTCTTCCCTTACTTCTCCTGTGCCTTTCCTCACCTCTTTTTCTCCCCTCAGCCCTTTCCTTCTCTCCTCTCCTCCTCTGTACTTGTTGCTGCTCGGGTCTCCAGAGAATAATATCTGCTGCTACAATTTCTTTATTGTTTCCTTGCCTGCAACTATTACAGTCCTTAATGATAGTTAGTCTTGGAGGACACTCTGGCTTGTTACTCTTTCCACCAAAACATCATGCTTCCCTCTTCCTCCACCTCCCCAGGTCCACGAATTGTGCGATAATTTCTGCCATCGATACATCAGCTGTTTGAAAGGAAAAATGCCCATAGATTTAGTGATTGATGAGAGGGACGGCAGCTCGAAGTCTGACCACGAAGAACTCTCGGGATCGTCCACGAACCTCGCAGACCACGTGAGTGCCGCGTTCATTATTCCATCTGCTATTGTCGTGTGCTGTGCATATTGTGGATGGCCAGGGTCTGGCGTGATGATAAATGTGCTCAGGGACCCCGATGTTTTAAAAACGCCAAATGGATGAGCCTGTGTGTATTACATGTGCTCCATGGCTGTCTATGTACAAGCGTTCACCCGACCGATCGCAGTGTGTATTGCTGGGCACTTGGTGTTGGGACTCGATCATGTCTTGTCTCTGTACGTTTATTTCTAGCCATGCTGCCATAAGTCCCACAATCATTTGGTTGTAGTGCATATATTTCATTTTTGTGTTATTTCCCCTTTGGCGATTTTTTTTTTTATTGGGCGCAAGGTACACACCAGGCAGGCGCCCGGAGCCCCTTCTTGTAAAGGATCGTAACATTTAATGAACCAATAATTGACTTTCTATTAGGGAGAGCTGGAGAGAATTATTAACAGCGGTATTACAGGTTAACCATTGATTTCTAACACTTTAATCATTCGGCACATTAAAAATGAGGCTTTTTTTATTGAAGGTTTGACAGTAGTCAGCTAGGGACCGGGGTTTTGTGTTCCCAAATCGGTGTTCTTGTTGTGTTTGTATGATTGTTTATGGTGCTGTGGTTTATTATTGTTGTCTGTGTTATCACTGCTGTTGTGTTTGGCCATGTGACCTCCTCTGTGTAATCCTCCTCATTGGAGTTCACTACAAATAGAAAGGAAACTCTTTTTACTTCCCAGGCTTGTGTCAGTGATTATTTCAGATCAGACTTGTCTTTGGAATTAACTGTTTTCCTGATTGTTTAATAAAATGTGAACTCTGAGTTCCAGGACATGTTTCTGCTGTGGTCTGTTTCAGGCCGCTGTTCCAGCTCCAAGTTTTTTGTTGCCAAAGGTTTGAGGCTTTAGGAAGGGATGAACAATAGACAGGATCTGTATATATACTGCAGTACATGTATACATTCCTCCCCCCTCTGTAAAGTACAGCTTCCTTTCCCAGTACAGTCTAAAAGCTCCTGTCCCGCTTAGTAGATTACACACCCGGCCTGTTTAGGGTCTGACAGATGGCAACAGCTAAAGCCAATTTACTCTGCTCCTTGGTAATAAGGAACCTTTTTATAGTCCCAGTGAACTGTATGGCTTAGGTGACCCGGCCAGTTTTAGTTTTTTCATTTGAAGCAGTATTTTAATTTTGTAAAAAATTTGTTGTCAAAATCAATTATATGCAAATACATTTTTATATATTTTTTACAATAAATATAAAATGCCCATAAAAAAGAAAAATGATGCAGTTAGAAGCTAATTGTTAACGCTTTATCTATTGGTGAACATGGCTGCAATGTTGTTTTAGATTCTAGCAATAACACTTCAGCTTGTAACAAGTTATTGTTTTTTTTTTAGAAAAACAACCACCTGAGTAAATGCATGCTCTGTTTTGTCTATTTCAGAAATGTAAATGATGCAAAACGTTAACAGTATAAAATAAACCTTTTTTTATGTAGTTGTTAGGATACATCAGCCACCAAATTCTGTAAAAGTAAACAGTTTACACAGGTTTTATTACTTTATTTTCCCTATATCGTTTTACTTTCATAATAAGTACGGCTGCAGTGAGTGCCTTTTTGCTTAGGCATGTGTTCATTGAAAAAGATAACATAAGTTATATATTGTGTACAGATTAGATGCATTTTAAAAGGATTTAAAAACAATTGTTAAATTTAATTTTTGTTTATTTTTTTATATTTTTGTTATTTTTAGTTACATATAAGTATTCTATTTATTTCAGAGCTTTATTTCAGAGCCAGTTCTGGTTATGTATTTGTATACTTGCTTTATTGGAAATAGTAATCTGCAACTACCTGTTACTTTTTTACTGATTAGATTTTGCTTTTACTATGAGCTTTAGCTGTGTTGTTGCCGCTTTCATTATCTGTGTGTTGTACAGTGAAAGGCATAGCTTACTTTCTTCTTACCTATTGTTAGTATTTTTTTCATTTCTATTTTTTATAAGTGGACATTGTAACACATAGGAATTGAGTATCTTATGGTTGTAAAATCCTAGCACATTAAATTCCATATAAGCCCTTGTCAAACAGGAGGATGTGTATGTCCTTAAGCAAAATCAAAATGAAAATGGTTGGATTGGACTTTAGTGTCGGTGTTCTGGTACTGGCACAGTTCTTAATGGTATACAGTGTGGCTTATTGCATAAGCCTTTAAAAACCTTATACAAGATTACAAAATCTTAGATTTTGTCCTAAAACTTGAAGCTCAGGAGGATGAATTTGTTTGTCTGCTGAAATATCTTTACTCAATGACTTCATGTATTGAAGATGTAGTGTGCAACTAAATTACCAAGTTTATAAAAGCTGTTAGTTAAAAACAAAAAAAAGTTTAAAAATTAATAAAACAAATATGTATTTTTTAGGTGTACTGACTGAGGGACAAATATGTCCTGTGAATAAGAATTTTTCTTATTGGACCAGCCAAAGAATTGTCAAATAATTTATTCACTGGTTTATTGTACATTCAAACCCCTATCGGCATAGTCACGCATTGCAGTCTCCTCCAGTATAAATATTCTCATCCTTCCTCCCCTCTTTATATTCAACTAAACTCTGACATGCTCTTGGTAAATACTGATTATTCTAAAAGCAAACAATATGATGATGTTATAAGTGATGCCAGCTTACTTAATCCCACTAACAAACAACTCACAATTCGGGTTATCAAAGGAACTGCATTTGCTGTCATTCATTGTCACACTTATAACTGCACTCTGCAAGCAACTCTAGTCACTTATCTTCACATTCACTCCCAAGATCACCCCAGTTATTCCTAGAAGCCTGGCTCCAGAACTAACCCTTTATACCACTCTTGGTAACTTGCCCAATTGTCTCATCTTCATCAGCCATCCAACTGCTGCTTCACCACTTATAGACGCTCCATCAGCATAGGGTTTTGCATCAATGTATTTTTAGGGGATTGGATAACTTACACCTGATCACCAAGTATCAAATATTTAGGAAAGGGATTAACATGCAATATTGATTGTTCAAATAAATGAGGGTTTGCTTACCTGCATGTGAGACATATATTTCTTGCTCAGTAAAGCAGTGGTATTTAATGTATTTATACTGCAGTCTGTGTATCACTTTACCTACTTTCTAATATGTCGCTTACATTTCAAGATGTAGATAATAAGTACAGAAAATGTGTATTCCAGTACTATACTGGTGCATGTTTACAGTACAAAGTCTCAAAACTGCCAAATACCCTGTATAGATGTACAAAAGCCAAAAGCGGATTTCTGATTGGTTGTTCAGGGCAACAAAATAT